CTTTTTTACCTCATCCCCTTTCTGATGAGTCCGTTCATCCAAGCACCATTTTCTCTTACAGCCATTAGTACTCGGACTACTCACAAGCTATTAGGACTGTGAGGATCAAGACTAGCTGCAAACAAAGAAACAGAACAAGCTGGCTGGGAGTTGGACTTGTGAAGTGGAAGTCATAAGGGGGCTTTTAACAACCTCTTGTTAAAGGGCTACAGTCCCAGCTGCATAGGCCAATAGGTGCTTCTGCCCAGAACCTCGTGAAGCAGCTGATGATACAACCTAATAAAACACGGCCTTTGCAACCACCAGAGCAATACAGCAATTCTAGGGGAATCAGCCACCTAGGGGCTGTCCCATTATTATACTTTCAACCTTTGATCCTAAACAGGCAGAGGGTGGGCACATTTTAACAGCCAGAATTGGATGGATGGATGAATGCACCAGTTTCCTCCCCTAGGACACGACCACGCTACCACTTCCCCACAGTGATCAGGCACTCCAGATCAGAAAAGCAGACTATGTTGCTGGGGTTCTTTTTCTCCCTCTTTGACACAACTACACTGACAGAGTTTCTCACTACATTGAAAAGGGTTGCTGATTTCTCCCCCCCCCCTCATTTTTTGGTCTGGAATATCCACTGTTCGTGCAGGAGCACACAGAGCACAGCTAACAGTGAGCACCAGAGAACGAGCTCCTCAAGGACTAGAGACATTAGTGAGCACCCTCCAGTAGGCTTTCCTGAACCAAGAGGTGAAAGCACCTTCCACCATTTTACTTTAATTCTTATGGTACAACAACAAAAAAGTGGGAGAAGAGCAGCATTGCAAACAAGGAATTGAAGTCTCCCAACTGACATACATCCCAGATTTGCATTTCTACAACAAGACACTATTGAGTCAAACTTGCTTTTTCTCATCTATTTCCACTGGAAAGAGCGCCAGAAGCTATTTTTCAAAGATGACCAACACAATCACTGTCCAAAGATACAAGATGTAGCATGTATTTTTAATGCCATTGCAACAAATAAGGAAATCTGAAGTTTTAACGCTATAAAGGAGAAAAAAAAAAAACAAAAACTTCATCTGCGTTCAACACAAGTCAAAATTTGGGAGTAACTGTTCTCTTAAGGGAGTTATTTAACACTCCTCAAAATTATGGCAGTTTCAGTCTTCAGTTAAATTCATTGGCTGTGTTAAAGTGCTCACTAATGCTTTCTTCCTCCTATTTTCAGTGTTCCAACAGCATAAGTTAATAAGCAACAAATAAAATGGTCAAGTACAATATCAGAGCTTCCCTATAGGAAAGATTTTTTTTTTTTTTAGCTTTAGGATATGCAATGTTTCCTTTCACTGAGTTTTTCCATTAACAAGACATGTGGGTTTCATTTGTATGGATTAAAAGAATCATAATAGTTTTCCCTCTTCAAAACCTTCCGTGTCTCAGTTTCAAAACTCCCAAGAAATGCTGACCTACCAATATCAGCCTTTGTTTAACAGACAGAATTTTTGGCTGGCAAACATTTGACTCTGAGCTTTAATAAGACAAGAAATAGCAGACAAAACAGCAATTTTTCACATCACATATGTGAACTCAAGGCCAAACAGTGAAACAGAGCAGAAGTGCAAGTTTTACTGAGTTTACTGAGCTCTGACATGGGATTTTCAGCCCAAAAAGTTTTGCCTGTTCTTCTCTCAAGCTGAATTGGCTTCTTTAGTTTACACATTGTCTCTGAAAAAGCCCTGCCTTTACAGTACAGCTATTCTTATATAAATAATAACAGAGGTGTAAGTACTGTAACAATAATAATAAAAAAGGTATAAGTTTTTGAGAGAATAAAAGAAGTGGGATCAATTCAGTGAGAACTTACTTTCTCAAAGTAAGGAGAAACTGGGATAGGTAAAAAAGCTAGCAACATTAACTTCGGCAAAGAACCTATAAGCTCTGTCAGCACATGGAATAGGCCTTGCCACTGTAAAGAGATTTACTAAAGGAGCTGAGAGTAAGAATCACCTCTTACAGAGGATTCCAGCCACAAGCATTTTTACAGACAAAGAATCACATCAGGCCCTTCCTTGGCCACTGCCACAGCAAGTTTTAGGCACAAGGAATATTAAAAACTAACACCAAGGTATTTTAATCCAGAATGTGAACGTGTCATTTTCTGGTTCCAAGGATGAAGCAAAAACAAAGAAGCACAACCCTTAAACATTTTCCTCTTACTCTACTAAAACAGGGAAGAGATAAGCACTTTCTATCCTTCTCCATGCTAACAAAAAGGTGGTGAGGTCCCTTTCCTGTCTAAACCTAGGCAGTCACTGAGAACACTCTCCACTTTCAGGCCATACAACGTAGTAAATTTTTCTCTTCTCTGGTTATTTCATTTATGAAACCCAAATCGACATCCTGTCTTGCTCTACCTCTCTTTTCTCCTGTAGCTTCACAGAAACGGATTTCAGAAAAGCTTTCCTGATTTCACTGCTCTTTGCAGCAGCTCACATGTGGCTGAGAAGTGAAACAAAATTAAAGGCTCTCTCTGCCCCTCTGCATGGGGACAGAGGAACACCCACATAAGAATGCTGATGTAAGAATCAGTAGTTACAGATATACCTCAAGCCAAACACGAAGTATAGTTGAGCATTAAATTAAAAAAAAAAAAAGTACACACAAGGCCTGGTCTGTGTTATTTTCCCCTCAGACACAGCCACAGAGGCATAAGCACTCTGCATTTTCCCAGACAGCTAACCTGAAGGTGAAAGCCTCCACAACTCAACAACAACCAACCTTCAAGCTTTAGGATCCTTTGGTCAATCAGCCTCTCAAATTTTTAAAGAGAAACAGACCCAGCATCTGTGCACTCTGATAACACTATTCCATAGATTTAACTTTCTAAATTACCAGCAAGAAAGGACAATTTAATAGTTTCAGTCAAACAGTCTTAGCACAGCACGTTAGGCTTATTTAGGGTTTTCTTTCTTAAAGAGAGAAACCAAAGAGACATAACATATGAACACAACTTGGCTTTTAGCCTTTAGGACCAAGAAGAGATGACAAAATTCAGGGAACAACCTGGCACTGCAAAATTATTCCTGGGTAGTTCCACAAGCCAGGAAACCAACTCTTCAATACCCAATCAGACAAAAGTTCACCCCAAACTTCTTACCTAACAAGTATACTTTTAAGAACCAGAGTAAAAAATAGAGACCAATACAGGAGGATCTGATGTCCATTCAGGTCATCAGAGGACTGCATTCACTTCAGGTGACCCTACTATGAGCTTGCTATATTACACTGTGTATTCAAACACCAGTATCTGCTGATCCAGTGTTAGGGTACGTATTACTCAGAAAAAAATTTGTTTCTTCACATCACACACTTCCCCTCTCCCTCCTACTCCACACGGCACAGAAAGCAATAACCTTTGTATAGGTCACTGTGAGTTTAAACCAGAACAATGTACAGCTGAGCACATAACAGTGAGGAAGGGGCTCACACTATTTTTCCCCCTCCGTCTATTATGTTACAGAAATGAATTGCACAAAAGAGCATAATTCTCCAGGGTGACCAAAAAGCCCAAGTATTGTTGTGATACGTGGCTGAATAACCAGTGTGATGCACGTTGTGTGTGCTACAGAAATGTTGCGTTTGACCTACAGATTGAAAACCAGTGTCAACTGCTGCCTAACTAACAGCTCCCCCTCCCTTCCCCCCCCATCTCCTCCTCCTCCTCTTCTCCCCGCCCGCCCCCTTTTTCCTCCTGGTCAACCAAGAAACGGAGCTCCCATGTGCCAAGACCTTGCATCTTATTTTGTCATGAAAACGAAGGGGGGAAGGGGTGGGGAAAAATTATTCTGTAAATAAATACAAGTAATACTGAACTTAAGAAAAAAAAATCCTCTTTACCCTCCCCCCACCTTGAGACCTGAACAGTTATGAACAAACATACTTAATAACAAAAAAGGTATCCAACATTAGTGAACAGTCTGAGGATGACCCACGAGAAACCCTTTTCCTGAACCCACACAATAGTAACTCTAAGGATTATTCGATAAAGAGACACCGTGGCTTTCCACACTATTCTTTTTGTTTTAAGGCGAGAGGTGCGGAGGATTCAATTAAGTTTGGGCTGGGCAAAGGGAGAACTCCAAACGCTAGGATCTCCAGCAGGCAGGAGGAGGGTTTTCGCTGGCTTCAACCTCCACTTACAAAGGAACAATACCAAAAAAAAAAAAAAAAAAAAAAAGCTTAGATTTCAAACTAAAGAGGTCAACAGCCTGTCTTTCTATACACGGAGATACATCAGTACTAACGTGCTTCCAGCACCTGCCTTTCAGCACAGCCCCAATTCCTTTGTTTGCTCAAAATTTGCTTCCATACCACTTTAAATTAGCTTACAAAGAACCGCAGCGAAATAGCTGGAACGTGAAACAATAATTTTTTTGGAGGAGGGAGGCGAGCAGCTTCTTAGGAAGAGAGAAAATTAAAATACAGACCCAAGTCACTTCTAAATACCTTCGAAAAAAATATTTGTAACTTGATGTCTTCTAGTTCTTCTAGTTCCACACCTATCACTGAGACTACAGAAACACGAGTTCAGGAGAGGATAGAACAAACAAAAAAAAAAAAAAAAAGGGAAAGAAAGAGAGAAAGAGAGAAAGAAAGAAAGAAGAAAAAAAAATCCCACCCAACTGCCATCTCCTGCCTCCTCCAGCCCTGCCAGCTTCCCTGTTCCTCCCTGCCTGCAAAGCGCCCTCTGGAAAGCATCGAGACTTCTTTTATCAACCGTGTGCGTTGGGGAAGGGGGGAGGAAGGGGGGGGTCCTTGTTCTTGCTCTGGGGGTTTGAGACTAGAATTAAGGAAGGATTATTTTTGGACCCCTTCCGATGAGAGGAGCCCCGGGTACCCCACCCCCCACCCCCCAGGGGGCTCCGCTCACCGGGAGGGGTTCAAATCACTGGATGAGGGGGGAGGAATTGCCCCCCCGCCAAAATATAATAAAGACTTACCGGGGTCGAAATCAGGGACCACCGCCTGGTACTGCGGCCCGACCCTCATTCCGCCGCCAGCTGAGGGAGGCAGAGGGACAAGCGTCACCCGGGGGGGCCCCGCCCCCCCCCCCCCCCCCCCCCCCCCCCAAAAAAAAAACCACCCCCCCCTCCCGCTCCTCACCGTGCTCCTCATCGCTGGAGGACCCCGAGCTCCCCTCCTCCCAGGAGTTCCCGCTGCTGTTGCCGTTGGGGGCGGCGGATAAACTTTTACTGCCGCCGTTGTTGTTATTATTCGCCCCGGCGGCGTTGTGGTTCCTGCCCCGCCGTTTCCCCGAGACCTCCGGGCCCTTCTCGATCATGGCTGGCATTTAGGGGAGGAAGGGGGGGGGGGGGGGGGAAGAAGGGAAGGGGGGGGGGCACAGTGTTAAAAAAGGGGGGGGGGGGGGGCTGTGGGAGGCGCCAAGGGCGGGCGGGAGCCGGGGCGGGCCGGGCCGGTGCGCGGCGGTGGCGCTGCTACATCCCCCACCGCGATCGCCCCGAACTTTGAGGCTCATCCCAGCCCTGCGCTGGGACTCCGCTCAACCTGCGCTGCTGCCCGCCGAGAGCCCCGCCCCTCCCGCTCCCGCCGCTGCCCATTGGCCGAACCTACATTTTGGGAGGCCATCCCGCCCGCCCATTGGCCGGCGCCGCCTGTCCATCGCAGCGGCCCCGCGCTTCCGTTCGCTGGGCGCGGCGGGGGCGGAGCGCGGGCCGTGCGTGTGTGCTGGAGCCGCGATCTCTCCGCCCGGCGATACCTCTGCTCCCCTCTCCTCTGCTCCGGGCCGAGCGGGGGAGAGGCGGGCCCGTAGCTCCCGCCGGGGAGCCTCTCCTCGGCCGCTCCCCCGGCCCGGCCCGGTTCCGCCGCCCCACCGGGAACTCAGTCCCGGGAGGAGCTTGGCGAGGGACTACTTTGCCCCCCCACCCACCTCCCCCCGCGGCGGAAGGTTACGGCGCAGTTTGAATGGGATTCCCTACAAAGCTCAGTTTCCCTGGGGAATCTGAGCCCGGCGGGGTCGGAGGTCTGTTATCCTCGTGTTCGGGACGGCTCCTGTCGGCAGCACCGGCCACAGCCCGCCGAGGGCAGGGGTGTCCCGGCGGCCGGAGGGGGCGGCCCCGCCGGAGCGGTGCCGAGGTTGCGGGACAGCGCTGGGACTGGGGGCGCTCCTGCTGCCCCGAGGGAACGGCAGCATCCCGCCGGGAAGCGGCACCGCACGGACCGGGGTCCGCGGTGCAGCCCCGCCCGCAGGGCGCTGCCACTACCCCCGGGGCAGAGCCGCCCGCCGCACGGTGCCGAGGAGCCGCTGCCGCCCAGCTCCGCTCAAGTAACTCCTGAGTTCCCCCATCCCCGCTCCCTTGCCGACCCGGGATTCGCGCTGGGGGCCCGGCCGAGCAACAGATCCCGCGCCCCGCATTCCCACATTCCCAGCGGCGCGCCCGGTTCCCCACGCGGCGGAGGAGGACGAGCCGGCCGGGATCAGGAATCCCTCCCGGGGGCGGCCGCGTCCCACGCCCGGTGCCTTCCTCGGGGTGACCCAGCAGCGAGCGGCTGCCCCGCCGCCGGCAGCGCTCCGGGAGTGGGGCGAGAGAGGGAACAAAAGGGGCAGCGGGACCGCTTTCCCTCCCTTCGTCACACGGGGCTCCTGCCGGGAAAACCTACACGCCGCCGGAGAGAACTGATGGGGGAGGAGGGACGGGAACGGGGGTCCGGACCCGCCCTGGCTAAATGGGCAACCAAAGTATGTATAGACCGCTCGCTGTTATTTTGCGACTCGGACTGTACGTCAGGATGAGGCAACACAATGCACGATCATGGAAAGCAGCTTGTGGGGTGTGTCTGCTATTTTCATTCAAATTAACTTCTGTAGCAAGTTGGTTTTTTTATTGGCCTGTGCAATTAAAAGTGCCATTTGACTAGCAGCGGTTATCTCGTATCAGCCAAACTGTCCCCAGACACTCCCCGCCTCCCTCTGCCATTTTAATCCAAGAGAATTTGCACAGGGGGAGGGGGAAAGAGCTGCCGAGGGAGAGCCGTGGTCTCCAGCCCTGGGCTTATCCTTCCCTCTCTATGTTGTGCCTCAGATTATCAAAATCATTTCACTTCTAGTTTAGACACTGTATTTTCTCCATTAAAATTAGGGAAAGAAATACCTTTTTGAAATGCATGGTAGTTTGTTTCAGCATACTGTCGTCTTTACAATATCTCCTTTCTCCTCTACACTCGGTATGTGTGTTGTGTGTACATACTGACATGCACAGTTTCCTTCATGTACACGTGCATGTACCTGTGAATATTTATTCAGCACAGTTATTTAACGCAGAAAAACTAAGCTCACTTTCACTGCATAAAAATAACTTTTGCTAGCTCACAATGCTAAATTTTATGACGATGACTCTTGATCCCACACTCTTTAAAAATATCAGCTCTAAATCAGGGGAGTAATTAGTGATGCTCTTAAACCCCAGCACTGACAGCCACAAATATTTTCCAGTATGAAGTGTACTACTTTACAGAATACATTTTCATGATAGACAGGAATGCAAACATGGCTGAGTGTTCGTTATCCTTCTCTGTACTCTAGGATTTCTACGCCAGAAATCCTAACACTCTAGGATTTCTACACCAGAAATCCAAGAGCAGGAAAGGAACACCCACTCTTTCATTTAAAAATGAGCTTGAGTGAAATTCAAAAGGTTTCTCCATCGCTTTTGAAAGTCCCACCACTCGAAAAAAAAAAAAAAGGCTTACCCAAGACTTAGACTGAAACACACTTGAACTTGAACCCAAGACCACAGATGACATTTGGAAGCATGTGTGTACAGTTTACACCGAGACATGTGTGTACAGCTTTGCAAATTGGGACCTAATTTTTGTCTTCACTTCCTCTCTCTCCTTCCCTCCCTCCTCCTCTCTTTATAGCCATTACCCACTTAGGCCCCAGGATTAAAATCTTAAATCAATCATCTAAATTATTTATAAGACAATTTCACTCATTTAAACTGTTGAAACAACATTTACTGCCGCTTTACCACTGTTTGCCTTTCCCAAAGCCGTGGCCCCTGCAGCTCCTCCTGGAACCAGGACTGAGCAGAGCAGTCCACCTCCAGGCTGGGGGAACAGTGTATTCCCCGTCCCCAATTCTGATTGACAGTGCCATGAGGGAGGCCACCGCTGGCGAAGCCATACCCTGGGGCAGCGGGGCACACTCTGCCCCTCCTGCCCACTCACCAGGCTGCCCTGTGACCCCAGCAGAAGATAAGGAGATGCCCAGGAACAGCAGCAGATCTCTGCCTTCTGCCTTGGGTGCCAAAGGAAGCATGTGTGCACTCTGTGCATGTGTCTGTGTCCCCAAAGGAGGAAGTCTTGGCATTGTCACTGTCACTACCAGTTTGCACCTGTCACAGCTGTTGTCCCAGGCCAACAACATCCTCTTCACCCATGGCAGGGCTCCTATTTGTTTTCAAACCTTTCTGCAGAAATTCATAGGCCCTGAACAGAACATCTCTGATGCTAATGGGAGCTTTTTTTTTCTAATCATTGAGAAAATTTTTTGTGCTTGTTTCTTCTTCCTGAACACTGTGGTGCTGGGTTTGTTTCTGCTTCGGCTTTAGCCTGAAGTTATGAGGGGGTTCCAACACAGCACTACAGATTTTGGGGGTGTTCTTGAAGGAAACTTTGAAAAATTCTTTTCTGGCCATAAAGAAAACTCTTTGCAGAGCATGGGTGAACATGTACACAGAAACTGTACACAAAACACAGAATCGTGTTTTATTTTTTAGCAGCAGTAGTGAATACACTTTTATCAGCCTCTAATACAAGTGCCAGAAGAGCAATGAATTCTACTCCTCTGGCTCGTGCTGTTTGCTCTGCAGAAAACCTGTGTTAAAACTTATTTTGAAGATGAGGAGGAAACCCCTTGAGCACTAAGTGAGCCTATGGCGTGTGGGGGGTCTTGTTTACCTGGATCAAAACTCTATTGAGACACATTAGGCCATGATCCCACATGACTGTGCACACCTGTGTGACCTGCCAAGGCTCACCAAGAGGAGTTTCGTGCATGATCTGCAACAGACTGAGTTATGTAAAGCAGGGATGGTATTTTTCCTAGATCCTGAGCTTGGCTGCAACTTCTGGACATTACTGAAATGTAGTGGTTAACCTGTTCAGCTATTTAGATATCAGACCAAAAAGGGGGGGAAAAAAGGTCTCCTCCTTATAAAGACAGTGTTATTGTTGCATGTGTGTTGTAACCTAACAGGTTGCATGAGGCAGGACTGTCTTTTTAAATAATTTCTTGAAATTTTTCTCTTTGTCAAGGGAAAAGCACCTCTCCTTGCCAGTTTTTAAATGAAAACTTTTCTTATTGCCATTAACCCTGTCAGTCCCACAAGTGAAATACAGATGAAGTAGAAATGCAGCCAGGATGCCCAACAACTGAGCAGCCTTCATTCCCTGGATGAAAAAAATAGTGTCTTCTGCCTCTTTCTTGTTCTCCTTCCTTTTGAGACTTTTCCCAGGGCAGCAATGCTCATCGTGCATCCTCAGGGCTGCCAGTTCTTGAAACAAAGGGTTACAAGAGCTAAAACCCTACTCATTTGCTGGAGCTGTAAAAAGCGGCTCTCACCTCTTCTGTACAGTATTTTCCTTGAAAACTGACATGCTAAAAATGCTTACCCCAGTGAGAATGTGCCTGTGTGTTTACACAAGTATATATGTATGTACGTGTATATATATATATATACACACATATATTTGGTTACTAGTAGTAAAAGGGACAATTAATCATGCTCTGGACTGATTGTTTTTAATACTGAAAGGCTATTAATCAGGAAAATGTTACCCTTTGAACAAGATGTTTATACAGTGAACACTATGGATTGTTTTTTTTTCCTCTGGTGCTAAGCTGCCTGCTAATGCAGAGCGGAAGTCGGGTTTATAATCTCTTACATTAGAACTTCATGCTCCAAGTTCGACAACAATTTTGGCTGGAATTTGGAAGGAATGCATGGGAGTTGATGCCTGGTTCTCTTAGATTTCAAGGGGACTTGGGTGTTCAAACCCCAAATCTCTGGAAGCATTGACAAACCTAAAAGACAGAAACAGGCATCATGTGCAAATTTCAAAAACACCTCCTTCTGCTGAAAAAAACCCAAGGGGCAACTAATTTCACTTTAATGTAACTAAAAGACTTTTAAAATCTGTCCCTAAATCTCTTGCAAGCCTTTGCAAATTTGTCCTTGGAGCCTTTCAGCCTGAAAGTTGCTTTTAGAGAAGGAATAGTATAGCAAATTTTAATCCAAACTTTTATTTCCCACTGGAGAGAATGGCTCATATCCTGTAGTGAGTGGGAGGCCAGCGGAAAAAATACAGGGGGGAACTGTGGTGGGAGTGAGAGGGTGCAGAGAGGCAGCTGGGACTGGATCAGCAGCAGGAGGCAGGAAAAGGGATGCTGGCAGCTGCAGGGTAAGCACGGCAGGACCAGGGGAGCCACAGCAGCCAAGGAAACCATGTCTTGGCTTGAAGCAGAGCTCCAGGCTGATCCGGAGGGGAGGCACTAAGGGCTGGCCCTGGGAGGAAGGAGAGGATGAGATTAAAATCCTGCACAGGCAGAGGCTGACGACACCAGGGAGAGCAGTGTGATAAACACACAACATCTTGGCACAGGCAGAGTTGCAGAGAACACGCTGTGTAT